GGTCAATGACATGAGACAAAGTATATGTGAACTGCTGTATGGAAAGTGAATTTGCTCTGTAAATCTTCACCCAAATCACAATAATAATAATAATACGAAAAAAAATTAGAAATGCTACTGGAAATAATTGGAATGTCTTTCCCCTAGAGGAGCTCAGGTGGCGTGGGTAAGACATTTGGCTGCTAACCAGAAGGTTGGGGGTTCAAACCCACCAGCTGCTCTATGAGAAGAAGATGAGGCAATCTACTTCCATAAAGACCTACAGCCTTGGAAACCCAGTGGGGATTGCTATGAGTCGGACTTGACTCAGTGGCAGTGAATTTGGTTTTGGTTTTTTATTCCTTAGAAGCAATTAGGAAGGAGCTGAAATTTAAGACTGGTCCTTCTCCGGTTCCCGAGAATGTCGGGAGTTGTTGGAAGGATGAGGGAGGGAAAGACATGTTATTTGCAGCCTTGGGTCTTGCTGCCACTTTGCTGTGGGCAGCCTGGAGTGGGTAGAAAGACTTGGGCCTGCAGGGTGGAGGCCTATTTTCCTGTCCAACACCTCCCGGAGGTACATGGTCCAAAATCTGTCATCAGACAGAAGGTCCTTCTTCCTCTGGCTTGCCTGCCCTCTAGCCTGATGAACTTCTGAAACTGGCCCACCGTCCCTGGGTTCCTCCTCAACAGGAGGAGAGGATGCTTGTCCCTCGGGCTGAGGCACACCTGGGTGGTGGTGAGGGGAGAGGTGTGCAGGAGGGCCTGCTGCGTGGGACCTTGTGTGTGAGAGGTGCCATGAGGAGCCCCCTTGTTCAGCACTTCCTGTGGATCCCCTGCCCTTCCACCGTCTTTGTGTTGGGTGCGGGGGGTGGGGTATGGCTTATTCCTTGGTTTGGTTTTAAAGTTCTTGGGAGTAGGAACCATGCCCCATATCTATTGCATCTGTCCTTGGAATGTGAAAGTCGATGAGAGTATTTTGCCTGAAAACTGTGAGCAGAAGTCCTTGGTCTTGGCACAGTGGTCCCGTGCCAGAGTGATGGCAGAGATGAGGGTGTGAGGGGCACTGGGATAGGGAGCAGGTGGCGGCCATGCTCAGTGTGAAGTGCGGTGTTCCTGCTGGCCCCCGGGCAAGCACCACCCTGAAGTCCCCCTGTGCATCCCACTGGTTTTCACAGTAGGTTTTTCTAAACGGGAGTGTTACACATGTGGAGAAGTAGAATATGCAAGTGTTGGCCAGAGCTTGGTAAGTTTTCATACCTCCCTCCTGGGAACACCGTCCAGGCCAAGTACCCACATGAGTTGTCCTGAGGGCTCCTCATGCCTCTTCCTGCCCACTCAGAGCCTGCTGTCCAGGCCCATCTGCAAAATACAGGTCCATGCGGTTTGTTGGGAAGATTCCAGATGCTTGTCTTTCAGATCTTGTTTTTTTCCATTTTGAAATGATTCTTTAAAGTTTGAGAGCAGGGTGACCCGGCTTTGGAAGACGCATCAGTCTTTAATAGTGGCAATAGTCGTGTAATGGAGAGGTGGTGGCTTAGTGGTGTAGAATTGGGGCTGCCCTGCCTGCTGGAGAGATGGTGGAGAGTTTAGGCCCCATATTATGCTGAAGACACAATTGCTGGTGGATTTTTGTAATTTTATGTGAATTGGTGCTTTGTAGCTAGCACAGCAGAGGAAAACAGGTAGGAAGCCCTCAGCCAGCTCTGTTGCTCCTGTTCGTAACCTTAGGTCCTTTTGGTGTCAACCACGGGGTGGAGCTTCACTCCGATGTCATCGAGTACGCCAGGCAGAAGCTGGACTTCTTCATCAAGACCAGCGACAGCTTTGACAGGTAAGGAAGTCCGTGTGCCGGGGCTTCTGTGAGAGTCCGTGTGGCGGCCGCGGGCTTCTGCGAGAGTCCGTGTGCCGGCCGAGGGCTTCTGTGAGAGTCCGATTGCTGGCCGCGGGCTTCTGTGAGACCTGCAGGGGGTGCAGGTGCCCACATGCTGGCACTGTGGTGACCATGGGGTAGCACCTATCTCATTTTCACTTTTGATACTCTGTGTTTTTAAGGGCTTTGGGTGTTTGTAACTGTGATACGTGGGTAAAGGCAATTTTCACCAGTGATAGAAGAAAACAATTTTTTTTTTGCTCAATTTGCATGTTTCTAGTATAGACAGATTCATGTCACTTGCTGGTTTCTAAAATTGTTCCATTTGTCTTTAAACAATATATATATAAGTAGCTCTTTCCATTTTTAAGTAAGATGTTAAAGTTCTTATTTGAGGGTTTAAGATTTTTAGAGACCAACTATACTTTTCCTTCATCTTGTTCATTGTGTAACAAATCTTGAATAAGACAGAGCGAAAACAATGATAATCAGAGATGGTTTTTCTATTTTGATTATGCTTGTATATTCACTTCCATCATACCTTGTATGGGATTTCTGGGGTTCTGTTTATTGTTTTTGGACATCTGGCTTTCAGCTTCTGGCCTTATAAGTTAATTGTGTAGCAGTTGCTGTGAAATTTTACCATTATGACAACTCACAGATGGAATAGATTTACTTACAGACATGTTAACCCACTGCTGTCCATCTGTCTGACTCAGAGCAACCCTGTGGGGCAGAGTAGAGCTGCCCCACCCGCCAGGATTTAACCACTGTGCCACCAGAGGTCCTGTTAATTGTGGGTAATCGTGTTCATTTCAGTTACAAGGTGATACAGTCAGTTACAGAAAGCACTGCTTCCTTTCAGGTTTGAATTCTGTGAACCATCCTTTGTTATTGGTAATTGCCTGGAGATTTCTCCCGACTGCAGTCAGTATGATCGTGTGTACTGTGGGGCCGGTGTGCAGAAGGAGCATGAGGACTACATGAAGAACCTGCTGAAAATCGGGGGCATCCTCGTCATGCCGCTGGAAGAGAAGGTCAGAGTCCCTCCCTCATGTGGGGGACACTGACCAGTGGGGTTGGTTCCAAGCCTTTGATGTGTATTTTCCCTCTCAACCCTCATATCAACTCTTCCATTTAGCAGAAGAGAAACCGAACAGGGACAGATGAGGAGCTACCCTGGGTCGTGCAGGGGCCCAGGTGGGGCCATGTGCCTTTTTTTTCCCCTTCTTTCCCTCCCCTCTCCTCTTTTCCTCGCTCCTGTCCCTTCCCCCTTTCCTTTCTTCCTGCTCCCCTCTTCCCACCCCACCCTCCACCAGTATCTGACTATTGCTGTAGTTGTTTGATGTCTGTGAGTGTTGTGTTGGAATCTTTTCCATGCTTCGTCGTCTGATCCTGCACATCGAGTGTATTTCAGATGCTCTACGTCATTGGAAGCAACAGGTTGTCATCAATCGTTTGATTTAATAGACTTGAGTGTGTGACAGGCACAAAGAACTAGGAAGCAAGAAATGATACACATTAAGCCATTGTGCATTTTTGTGCTGTTTTAAAATACTAGCATTTAATTAACTGTGTTCTAAAATACCCATTTTAGATAACTCAGAAGATGGACATGTGAGGGAGAGCTGCTCCTCATCTTTGCCATCACTGCCATTAACCCTAACCCTGCAGCCCTTTCCCACGTTTGTGAGATGTGTGATTGTGCAGGGTGTGTGACTTGCAGCTCTCACTGCAGAGAGGCCCTGTGTTCTTCTGCATTGTCCAGGCGTCACACTTGGTGTGCTTTCCACAGTTTCTACAGAGGCGTTTGTGATTATGCTTAGTTTAAAAAATTTTCATCCATAAATACCTTATTATCTATCGATGAAAGACGAGTCCTGGTTTTAATATCACCACAAAAAACCATTATCGTAACCTAAAAAAATGAATTACTATTCCTTTGTATCTTCAGATACTCCCCTAGCATTCACACTTTCCTGATTCTTCATAGAAATTTGTTAAGTAGTTTGTTGGAATGAAGATCCACGTATTACATTTGTTTAATACATATCTGTGTGGGTCCTCTAGTACCACTCTAGCAGATGATACCACAAGTGGATGGTTTGACCAAACAAGGATTTATCCTTTTATGGTTTAGGAGGCTAGAAGTCTGAGTTCAAAGTGTCAGTTCCAAGGGATGGGTGAAAGCCCCTCAGCCTTGGACTTCATCTCTGCCTCTTGCTCCTGGCCCACTGAAGCTGGAGGCTTCTTTTAACTCAGACAGCTGCTGGGTGCTGAGGCTGACAAACCCAAGGTCAACAAATAAAATGGCACAGTCCCCAAATTACCAAAAAACATGGCAGGCAACTTGTTCAAGTCCAGGAACAACCCTAAGGTTGGCAGGTAACATGGCAGGCTGCTGAATGAAACTCAGCTACATTCAGGGTCCATGTGTGCCAGAAAACTACAGAGACCTTTCTCAGAGCTGTCATCTTACATGCTGGAAGCAGCCCACATCCCTAAAGCCAGCTACTCAGCTGCTCCAGTAGATTCCACCCTGGAGGGGATTACCCGTCTCATCGTGGCGAATATTACCTGTCTCATCATGGGGAATCACTACATGCAGCCATTCAAAACCAGGCCCAGCCAAGCTGACACATAACCTTAACTACCACAGTTAAGGTTTCTTACAGTTGTTTAATCTAAAGGTTCTCCTTGCTTCTTTCTTTTTTTTTTATTTCTCAAAGAAATCAGGCCATTTGTAAAATTTTCTCTCCAAACTGGCAGCGGGACCCAGCGACTTGGCTAGATCCAGGTTTTTAGGTAGGGACATCCTTCCATGCTAAGGTGAGGCACGACACATCTGGCGGTCACTTTTTCTATAAATTTTAGAGATAAGTCCCTTGCAGGTATGTCATTGATGAATATTTTTTCCCAATCTGTAGGTTCTCTTTTTACTCTTTTGGAGGAGTCTTTTAAAGCACATAAAAATTTAATTTGTAGAAGGTCCCAGTCATCTGGTTTATCTTCTGCTGTTTGTGCATTTTGGGTTATACTTGATAGTCTATTTATGCCATAAATTAGGTCCCCTAAGTTTGCTCCTATTTGATGAACTTTATAGATTTAGGTTTCACGTTTAAGTGTTTGATCCATCTGGAGTTAGTTTTTGGGTATGGTGTGAGGTATGGATCTTGCTTCATTTTTTTGCAAATGGATGACCAGTTTTGCCAGCACCATTTGTTAAAGATACTGTCTCTTCTCCATTTAATGGATTTTGGTCCTTTGTCAAAGATCAGCTGATCATAGGTTGATCGATGTATATCTGGATTCTCAGTTCTGTTCCACTGGTCTATGTGTGTGTTGTACCAGTACCAGGCTGTTTTGACTACTGTGGCTGTATAGTAGTAGATTTTTGATCTGGAAGTGTGAGACCTCCTGCTTTGTTCTTCTTCTTTAATAGTGCTTTGTTCATCTGAGGTCTCTTTCTTTTCCATATAAAATTAGTGATTGGTTTTTCCATATCCTTAAAGAATGTTGATGGAATCTGGATTGGGATTTCACTGAATGTATGGATTGAATGCATAATTGAAGACAATTAAAACAAGTCCATGAGAACCAAAATATGACCTTGATTATATCCCTCTTGAATTTAAAGACCATCTAAAGAATAGATTTGATGCATTGAACACCAATGACTGAAAACTAGAGGAATTGTGGGATGACATCAAGAACATCATTCATGAATAAAGCAAGAGGTCATTAAAAAGACAAGAAAGGAAGAAAAGACCTAAATGATATCAGAAGAGACTGAAATTTGCCCTTGAATGGAGAGTAGCTTAAGCAAACGGAAGAAATGACAAGATAAAAGAGCTGAACAGAAGATTTCAAAGAGCAGCTCGAGAAGACAAAGTCAGTTATTATAATGAAATGTGCCAAGACCTGGAGTTAGAAAACCAAAAGGGAAGAACACTCTCAGCATTTCTCAAGCTGAAAGAACTGATGAAAAAATTTAAGCCTCGAGTGGCAGTATTTAAAGATTCAATGAGCAATACATTGAACGATGCAGGAAACATCAAAAGAAGATGGAAGGAATATACAGAGTCACTGTACCAAAAAGAATTGGTCAGTATTCATCTATTTCAGGAGGTGCCATATGATCAAGAACCAATGGTCTTGAGGGAAGAAGTTGAAGCTGCACTGAAGGAATTGGTGAAAAACAAGGCTCCAGGAATTGGCAGAATACCCACTGAGATGTTCCAACAAACAGATGCCATGCTGGAGGCAGTCACTTGGCTATGCCAAGAAATTTGGAAGACAGCTACCTGGCCAACTGACTGGAAGCGATCCATGTTTGTATCCATTCCAAAGAAAGGTGATCCCACAGAATGTGGCAATTATCTCACATATCATTAGTATCACACGCAAGTAAAATCTTAAGATAATTTAAAGACGGTTGCAGCAGTATATTGACAGGGCACTTCCAGAAATGCAAGCTGGATTCAGAAGAGGATGTGAAGTGAGGGATATCATAGCTGATATCAGATGAATCTTGGCTGAAAACAAAGAATACCAGAGAGATGTTTACTTTGTTTTATTGACTATGCAAAAGCATTAGATTGTGTGAATCATAACAAATTATGGACAGCATTGAGAAGAATGGGTATTCCAGAACACTTAATTGTGTTCATGAGGAACCTGTACATAGACCAGGAGGCTGTCATTCAAAAAGACATGGTTTAAAATCAGGAAGGGAGAGTGTGTCAGGGTTGCATCCTTCCACCATACTTACTCAATCTGTATACTGAACAAATAATCCGAGAAGCTGGACTATATGAAGAAGAATGTGGCATCTGGGTTGGAGGATGACTCATTAACAACCTGTGATACACAGATGACACAACTTTGCTTGTTGCAAGTGAGGATGACTTGAAGCACTTGCTGATGAAGATTGAAGACTGTAGTCTGCAATATGGATTACACCTCAGTATAAAGAAAACAAAAATCCTCACTGTTGGACCAGTAAGTGGCATCATGATAAATGGAGAAAAGACTGAAGTTGTCAAAGACTTATATTACTTGGTTTTACAATCAACACCAATGGAAGCAGCAGTCAGGACATCAGATGACAAATAGCACTGAGCAAATCTACTGCAAAAGACTTCTTTAAACTGGTGAAGAGCATAGATGTTTCCTTGAAGACTAAGGTGCACCTAACCCAAGCCATGGTATTTTCAGTCACCTCATATTGCACGTGACAGCTGGACAATGAATAAGGAAGACCCAAGAAGAGTTGATGCTTTTGAGTTGTGGTGTTGGCTAAGAATACTGAGAGTACCTGGACTGGTAAAAGACTAACAGATCTGTCCTGGAAGAAGTGCAGCTGGAATGTTGCTTGGAAGCAAGAATGGAGACACTTCCTCTCACCTACTCTGGTCATGTTGTCAGAAGGGACCATTCCCTGGAGAAGGATGTCATGTTTGGTAAAATTTAAGGTCAATGAAAAGGGGAAGGCCCTCAATAAGATGAATTGACACAGTGGCTGCGACGGTGGGCTCAGGTATAGCAAGGATCGTGAGGCTGGTACAGGACCGGGCAGTGTCTTGTTCAGAGCCGACTCAACGGTACCTAACAATAACAGCATGTTGATGTGATTCACCCAAGTTTTTTTCATTTTGTTTTGATATATCTGAGTAAGCAGGGAAGGTGCTCTGGTAGTACAGTGCCTAAGGCATCTGACTGCTAACCAGAAGGTTGGTGGTTCAAACCCACCAGCCATTCCACAGGAGCAAGACTGGGCAATCTACTTCCATAAAGATTTACTGCCCCAGAAACCCCTATTGAGGATCGCTATGAGCTGGAATCGAGTTGATGGCAGTGGGTTTGGTTTGGTTTTGGTTTGAGTAAGCAGGGTACTGTGTGCTCCTCTATTCACTAGTTTGCAGCACTTAGGCAGTCACCACCTGTCTTCTGGTAGACTTAATAGAGAATGAGCATGTGTGCACAGATCTCTGTTAGCTATTCCTGAAGAGCAGTTAAGGGTGAGTTGGGTTTGTGT